AAGTCCGGTCCAATGGAACGCTGACGTTGGATGTGACTGTCACCAACACGGGGCTTCGTGCCGGCAAAGAAGTCGTGTTTGTGTTCATCTCGCAAAAGGTACTAGTAGTAATACTAGTACTTCTAGTAGTACTAGTGGTGACGACGATCACGATAGGTGCGTCATGGCGCGGTGCCCGAAGTCAAGTTGCTCAAACACTTTACCAAGGTGTCACTGCAACCCCAAGAAGCCACGACCGTTCGATTTACGCTGTCGGCGGCCGACTGGTCGTACTATCGCCCCCAAATCGGCCGCGGGTTCCACTCCGTGTCGGAGCCAGGGCTGTTTCATGCGATTGTTAAGCACGACACGGACTGCGGAAGGCACCCGGCGCTGTGCAAGGCGTTCCATGTCGACGCGTAGTAGATACGACTCGGTAGACAAAAATGTTCACATTGTTACGTTGTAAATCGGCTTTTTGGGAATAAGCGCCTAAGCTACCACTCGGACAGGCGCGACGTGATTGATTCACAGTCAATTTCTTACTCGATGGTGAGGCTGCCACGTAATTCCGAAGCACGATACCACCTCGTTATATGATAATCTGAGCTCTTTTATCGTCGTTTAAAAGGTTATAGTCAATCATCCATAGTGCACTGCTTCAAACGGATCAACGAAATCATTGACGACGAGTGCAGAAGTACAAGGTACTCGACGATGAAGACTTGCTAACAACACCAATAAACCCTCTAAATGTTTATAACCTCGCCAAACATGTATCAATCGATCACCTTCTACAATTTTATCTAAATTTGATTGGGATGACATTTGAGCACTGTGAAGCAAAAGTGCTGAAGTTGTCGTAACGTTACTACTTAAGTATCTATTATCGTATCATGTACTTCTACCAGAGTATTACACTGTACATAGGACTGTACATTAATATTGAAGCCCCTATGAATTCAAGCTGTCAACGCGCTTATTTCGGCCGATAGAACGGAGCTTGGTGAATTGTAGTGAAGATCAGGATTCGGTCAGTTGGGAGCTACCGCATACTAGTATATATATACCCCACGATGGAGCTTTATTATCACCATAATCACCATTTTCGCGTCGGCAAGCATTGACTTCACAACGCCAGCAGTCTACAGGAATGATATTTTCATGCAGCGAATCGGCCATAAGAAATATCGAATCCCATCGCCCACAATTTCGGGGGCACCACTTCAACATGGTATTGATTGGCTAAAATACAACTATATCCACCAATCCAGAGGACGTATGTGATTGTGTCAACACTTTGGCCTCGTCATGGGGTCGATTATCCGGATGGTTGTCACCAAAAAGTAAAGGAAGATCTCAAAACCATTTTGGGTACCATGGCGCCACCGCTGGTCCATCTCAAGGCGTCGTTTGGTGCGTTTGTGGTGGCATGCTGCTTCCTGTATTCTGCACAAGTCGACCGCCTTCCTCCGTCTCCTGCTGCTCACGTCAACTTTGCGGTGACGGCAGCAGGGCCACGCGACGTGGTCGCCGACCTCCTCGTCAACTTGGTAGGGGTCTGCATGATGCTCGATACGTCTTCCCTCCCTCTGCGCATGCATACTCACATGGACGTCATGGTGATTCTAGACGACAGCTCAAAAAGTCGGCCAGCTGCTTCAAGTGGACATTCGCAAGCTGTTTGACGGCGGTGACGACTGGAATAACGGTGGCTCCCCCAAGCTCAACAAAGCTCGCGTCGCCGAGTACGCCAAGCTTGGCATCGGCTCCTTCTTCAACACGCCGTTCGACGGACGGACACAGGTCCAAGCGCCGACGGCCGCCAACTGGCGCTCCATCCTCCACGACATCCACACCATCTACGCCGAGCATCACGCCGTGCCCTTCGTGTACGGCATCGACACGATCCACGGCGCCAACTACATCCAGGACGCGACTTTATTTCCCCAGCCGCTGGCCGCCGCGTCCTCGTTCAATGTCGACCTGGTCTACCGAATGGGCCAAGTGGCTGCCAAGGACACGCTGGCCGCGGGCATTCCTTGGGTGTTTAGTCCCGTGCTGGGCATTGCAGCGCAACCGAAATGGTCTAGGGTAAGCGTGTGTTAGTGTCGATTAGTAGTTTGTGCCAAACTCATCGGTCGTTGCTGCAGAACTACGAAACATTTGGCGAAGACCCGCACACAGTGTCTGCGTTTGGCGTGGCCCTCATCCAAGGACTGCAAGCCAACAACCGAACGGCGGTATGAAGCAGCCCTCACGAGTTTGAAATAGTATTCTTCTTTTGATGATATATTTTTATTTCGATGATCTAATACTCTATTATTCGTCATTGTGGAAAAATACGATTATTGTTCGTATATGTCAGGCCAAATATTCCCCAATATATACTTTCACGATACATGGTTTTGTGTTTTCTACGTTTTAAACTATATGTACGAGTTTATAGTATGTGTACTATAATTATGTGGCAAAAATACACTTTTATGACCTGTATGTACTACCGGTATGTAGGCATGCATGAAGCATTTCATTGGGTACTCCAACCCGACTTCAGGCAACGACCGGGCGGACAGCGTCATTTCCGACTTTGAACTGGTCAACTATTACGCCCCATCCTTCCTGGCGGCAGTCCATCAAGGCCGCGTCAAGTCGGCCATGGAAACATACACGAGTGTAAATGGGGAGCCAGTGATTTCCAG